CACCAATTTGTTAAACTTAGAAAAAGTACTAACATTTCATAACTCTAAAAAAAAAAAAACCACTTTACAGTTTTTGTTACTCAAGCTAACTTACCTCCAAGTTATAAAAGTTACAAAATTTTGGTTTAAAAAATGTCATTCTATGATTGTCCCAATTTATTTTGCTATGCCATGACAAAAACAAAAATCTTTGAAATGTCTGGAGTATTTAAATGGAATGTTTGTAACATAAACTCCTTTAAGTTAATTTATGAATTCACAGTGCAATCTCAATTTTGTACATATCAAACAGGCTGGGTGCAGTGGCTTATGCCTGTAATCCTCACACTCTGCAAGGCCAAGATGACAGGATCACTTGAGCTCAAGAATTACACCGCATCCTTGCCAACTCTTTTGTCTTTTTGATGGTAGCCATTACAATAGGTGTGGGGTGATTGATATCTCATTGCTGTTTTGATTTGCATTTCCCTGATGATTATTGATGTTGAGCATTTTTTCATATACCTATTGAACATTTGTATGTCTTCTGAGAAATGTCTAGTCATACAAAATGTCTTCGTCCATTTTTAATAGGATTATTTGTTTTCTTACTTTTGCATTGTTTGAGTTCTAAATATATTTGGGATATTAGCCTGCTGTCAGATATATATGGCTTGTAAATATTTTCTCTCTTTCTATAGGTTGTCTCTTCATGCTGTTGTTTTCTTTTTTTTGAGACAGAGTCTCGCTTTTGTTGCCCAGGCTAGAGTGAGTGCCATGGCGTCAGCCTAGCTCACAGCAACCTCAAACTCCTGGGCTCAAGCAATCTTTCTGCCTCAGCCTCCCGAGTAGCTGGGACTACAGGCATGCGCCACCATGCCCGGCTAATTTTTTCTATATATATTAGTTGGCCAATTATTTTCTTTCTATTTATAGTAGAGACGGGGTCTCGCTCTTGCTCAGGCTGGTTTTGAACTCCTGACCTTGAGCAATCTGCCCGCCTTGGCCTCCCAGAGTGCTAGGATTACAGGCGTGAGCCACCGCACCTGATGTAATCCCATTTGTCTATTTTTGCTTTTGTTGCCTGCACTTTTGGAGTTGTATCAAAAAAATCAGTGCCCAAACGTCAAGAAGCTATTGTCCTGTTTTCTTCTAGTAGTTTTACCATTTCAGGTCTTACATTTAAGTCATTAATTCATAGCATTAATTCATTTTGAGTTGATTTTATTAGATGGTGTGAGATGAGGGTCTAATTACATTTTCTACATGTGGATATCCAGTTTTTCCAACACCATTTATAGAAGAAATGGCCATATCCCCATTATATGTTCTTGATGTCTTTGTTGAAGATGAGCTAGTTTTTTTTTTATTTTTTTATTTTTTTTATTTTTTTTTTATCCTGGCTTAAGTCTCTATAAGCTAGTTTTATTTTTTTATTTTTTTTATTTTTTTTACTTAAGTTTGCGAGATCTGAATATAAGCTAGTTTTAAATGTGTGGATTTGAATCTGGATTCTCCATTTTGTTCCATTGGTCTATGAGTCTGTTTTTATGCCATTACCATACATGTTTTGATTACTATAGCTTTGTAGTAGATTTTGAAATCAATTGATATGATGCCTCTGGTTTTGTTCTTTTTGCTCAAGATTGCTTTGGCTACTCAGGCCTTTTTGTGGTTCCATGTGAATTTTAGGATTGTTATTGCAATTTCTGTGAAAAATATTATTGTAACTTTGATAGGGATTGCATTGAATCTGTAGATTGCTTTGGGCAGCATGGACATGTTAACAATATTAATTCTTCTAATCCATTAACATGGAATATCTTTCTCCTTAATGTCTGCTCAATTTCCTTCATCAATGTTTTACAGTTTTCAGTGTACAGAGCTTTTACCTCCTTGAGTAAATTTATTCCTAATTATTTTATTTATTTATTTATTGGTAGCTATTGTAAATGGGATTGTTTTCATGATTTCTTTTTCTAATAGCTCATTGTTAGTGTTTAGAAATGCTACTGATTTTTTGTATGTTAATTTTGTATCTTGCAACTTTACTCAATTCATTTATTAGTTTATGGTGCAGTCTTGGCATACTAGATATTTTAAGCTGAAGAAATTTGAGAAATGAAAGGAGCAGAAAGGGATCTTTGACCTTCCCCTAAGACAGGTCACAAGATTCTCATGTGAGAGGTGTTCTCCCCATACCTGGAGGAAAGGAATATTCTTATCTCTGAAAATGGAGGGATGTCAAGAGGAATCTAAAAAAATAAGGCTTGCTAAGTTTCCCCCAGTTTGCTACAGTTAGCTTATACTCCCTTTGTCCTTTCACATTTTTCCATGATTTCTGTCTTCATCAAATTTAATATAAAACACTCAAGCTTAACTATTTGGAGAGGGTCTTCATATCCTAATGAAGGCTTCCATGTTACATAAAACCTACATTGATTTGTATACTGTTGTTACAGAGCCCCACCTGACAACCTAGAAGGGCAGAAGGAAAAGATTTTTTTCTCTTCTATAATACTCTACACTAAAGGAGGTGGAGCATATTCCCTGTCTGTGCTCTCTCTGTGCTGCTACAACAAAATACCACAGACTGAGTAATTTATAAAGAATAGAAAATTATTTCAAACAGTAATGGAGGCTGGGAAGTCCAAAATCAAGGTACTGCATTGGTGATTGGTGAGGACTGCTGTCTGCCTCCAAGATGGTGCCTTGTTTCTATGTTCTGACATTGCAGAAGGAAGAAGGGCAAGAAGGCTGACTGCTGTGTGAAGACTCCTTTGTAAAGGCATTAATTCCATTCCTAAGAATTCCATTATCATGACTTAATCACTTCCATGACTTAATCACTTCCCACTTCTTAATACTATTACATTGGCAATTAGGTTTCAACACATGAATTTTGGGGGACATTCAAACCATAGCACCTCCATCTCCTGGTATGTGGTCCACACGCAGTTACTTTCTTCCAAGTGTATACTATGGAAAGGGGGAAAAATAGTAACTTTATAATGTAGAAACCTGACAAACACTACTTTAGCCAGGCAATTAAGTTCAATATCAGTGATCATAAATCATGTTGGTAATATAAGCCCTTGCTATGATGGGATGAAAATGACACTTTACCTCTGTAGTCTTTTTTTCTCCACAAAACCCGTAACTCTAGTCTAATCATGAGAAAAACAACAGAGAAATCCCAATAGAAAGACATGTTACAAGGTACCAGATCAGTTTTCTTCAAAATTGTCTAGGTTATCAAAAACAAGCAAAGTCCAAAAAATTATCACAGCCAAAAGGAGACTAAGGAAACATGATAACTAAATGTAAGGTGGTATCCTGGATTGAATCCTGGAACAGAAAGGACAATAAGTAAAAACTAAGAAAATCTGAATAACAAATAAGTTATATAAATAATATATAATGGATATATAACAATAACTAAGTTATGTGTGTGTGTGGGTACTTAGGAACTCTGTACTCTATGCTCAATTTTTGTGTGCATCTAAAACTGTCTTAAATGGCTGCAAAGATTTCAAAGATACACTGAAAAAAGAAAAAAAATTATAGAATAAAAATATAAAAAAAACTCTTAAAAATAGTCTATTAACAATAAATAAATAAGAACAGAAATGGATTATAACACCTTGAACAAAAAGGAATCCATAAATTCATACTGATAGTCAACAAATAAATAAATTAGCAGGGCTCTTCTTGATAGAAGGAGTTGGAAAACCCCCCAAGATTCATAGAATCTGAACCATAAGGCAAAGTTTGATTAGGAGCAGGATATTTGCTTGGTGTCAAAGTATCACCTCACAGAGTGCTTATTAGTTGCAAGGGGGAAAATACACTGCAGAGGAACTGGACAATATCTTGATGGGATGATAAAGATTAATATCATTTTATAATGAACAGATAGACATCCTGTGTCTCTGGATGTAATATCCTGAGAAGGCCACAGTCTCATTTATGTGATTATTTCAAAGGAGGATGCATGACTTGAATCTAATCATGAGGAAACAGACAAAAGTCTCAATGGGAATTTGTATTCTTTAAGAGGGTGGATTGCTTTGGTGCACACTCCTAGTCACAAAGCTGTTACTTAAATAATCAAATATGTATGTTCCAGACTGTGATTTTTAACTATTATATTTATAAATTAAAATGACATCATGTTGGGAGTGGGGAAGGGTCATACCCACAGAAAGAATTAAACATGAAGAGATGAGCGGTTTCCCTTGCAGGGACCCAAAAGAAAACAGGGTGTGGGGAGTCAGTCTCAGCAGGGTGGAGAGGCGGTGAGAAGTAAAAAGGGGCCCTGAGTTGAGGATAATCAATTGTTCGGTTTGTATTTATTGCTAATTTAACATATCCATAGCATTTATTCTTACTAGGCGCTTGCTTTTCATTATTCACTCATTTAATGGGAAAGTTCAATAATTGGTCTATATTTCTAAAACCAAAACAGCGACATAACACTATTTTTCTCGTATTTTTATGTTAGCGGCGCCCCCCCCCAACACACACACCCCTATAACACACGCAGTGATTCTCTCCTTCGGAAGAGTATGAGCCTAAAATTAATGTTTGGTGCTCTTCCGCAGAAACCACGGCAAACACACTGCAATACCAAATGTTGAGTCCCCTTTGAAAAGTCAGCTGATTCTTCTGTCTTCTGGAAAGCCGAAAAATCCTGCACTGAGAGCAGCTTTTGCTTTTACATCGGAGCGCCAGGTTCCCATGTTCTCTATACCTTCAGTGTTGAACACCAGAGGAGGTCGCTGCTTTTTTCTTTTTTAGCCAAAGTTTGTGTTTCTATTATTCATAACTTCCCCGCTCCAGATCTAGGAACTAGTTCCGGTCTGCCTTTGTTGCCAGATTGGCATGTATACAACGCAGTGGATTCTGGGAGACCAAGTCCCAGTGTAGTGAGGTTTACAGCACCGGCGCGGACACCGGACTTCAATTCCCACAATGCACGGCGCGAATCCGTAATTCCTGCCTGGGTAACTGTGAGGTGGCCGCCATCTTGCGTACGGAGGTGCGGCTTGTTTCCCCGATCCTGAGGGCTGGGCACTTTAGTGTCCCCAGATCTCCGCTTAGGTGCTGTGTCTTCGCTTTCCTTTCACCTTATCAAAGGTTTGTGTGTTTCTAGGAGAAGGTTTTATTGGGAGGTAAAGGTCGATGCAGAGCTGTAGAGTAAGGTGAGTAGACACCCCGTTTTAGATAGGGTGGGGTGGTGGAGTCGTTTTTCGGTTACTTCCTTCCTTCTTCCATTAGCGACTCAGGTTCTCGCCAGTTTTGCTGGACCCCTTAGATTAGCTGTAAACGTAGAAGCCAGAGTGAACCTTTGAGCCTCCGAGACCTCCAGAATTCCTAGACGGGACCTGAACCTATCTTCGTTGGGACAAAGAAACTGGGTGACGCAGTTTTTCCCAGACAGCTCTCTTTGGAGGTCAGGAAGCACGGGGCTCAGGTTATTTTTAGGCCATACTGTGTTAACGCAGCCCTTGTGCTCTTCCTCGGGACTTTTCTGACACATTTCGAATGAGGAAATGAGCAGCTGAGAGTTGGCTGAGGAAGGGGACTGTTTCCGGGAGGATGGGGTTCTTCACAGTTGTATCTTTGTTTTTTTTTCCCTTCTAAATTAAGGCGCTACACCCATTTGGGAACCACATTTCCACTAACTACTCACAGGAAAAGGGCCCACAAAGACTGACATTTCAGTTAATCTAGCATTTGGACGCTAAGGAGATTGGTTGTCAGAGGTTTGGGAATTTGGAACCATTTACTCCAAAAAAGGGTGGTTTTAAGTGAGAAGACATTTAGAATGCAAAGTGCCAGTTCGGGTATGTGTTAACGTGGCTGGCAGTTTTACTCACGTTCTAAATACACAATTGTGTATTTGTATCATCAAAATATATACATTATTGATTCAACTTTCCAAACTTAATTTTTTTAAGTTCTCTAAATTCAGAAATGGATCATTTATATTAAAGATGAAATACATTTTTTAAAAACGGATATTTCAGTGAAATCCCTCCTATAAATCATGTTATGAGAGTACTTTAATGAATGGTTATAAAACTACAGTTGGACTCTAGTATTTTGGGAATATGTTACCATCAGATGTTTGTATCACAAATTTAAATGTCTTTTTCTAATTTTTTGTTTATGAAGAAACTTTTGTTTAGATTTTTTAAATATGAGCTAATGATTGTATGATTTATTTAACTCCTCAGATGCCTTATGGTGAAATTGAAGCTAAATTCTTGGGACCTAGTGAAGAAGTAACAGGTGAACCACACTATAAAAAATTGAAGTCAACTGCAGAGGCTTATGTTTTCCCCCATCATAGTAGTGCTGATTTTCACAGAATCCAAGCAAAAACTGGAAATGATTGGGTCCCTGTGACCATCATTGATGTCAGAGGACATAGTTCTTCTCAGGAGGACAAAACCAAAACTACAGCTTTGCTGAGACCTTTGCATGATGAGATGCCTGGTAATAGACCAGATAATGTTGCATCCATTGATTCACGAATTTTACAGCATGCAAGTCCTCCGTCACTATCCACGGAAGATGAGATATATAGCACAAGCAAAGCATTTATAGGACCCATTTACAAACCCCCTGAGAAAAAGAAATGTAAACAAAGGAGGAATGAGACAGACATTCTCAGTGATATAAATGACAAAGGAGGACAAGAGAAACAGAAGTTTAACTCTAAAAAATCAGAGATTGACAATGAATTATTCCAGTTTTACAAAGAAATTGAAGAGCTTGAAAATGAAAAAGATGATTTGGAAAGCAGTTGTAAGGAACCCGAACCTCCTCAGGAACAATTTATTCCATGTTATCAGGGCCATAATAATGATCTCTTAAAATCTGATGAAGAAAAGAAAGATCTTAGTAATGCTTTTCAGTCACATTGTGGTTATCAACAGAACTTGGACAATGAGCCAGGCAAATATACCTGTAATGGACAAGTAATACCTACATTTTGTGACTTTTCGTTTACTTCCTTCAGGCCTGAATGGCAGTCAATGCATCCCTTTATAGTACCCCGTGGTCCTCCTATTCCTAGTTTGAACTATCATTTAAATATTCAAAGATTCAATGCTCCACAGAATCCACCATCAAATATTTTTCAAGCCCAAGATGACTCTCAGATGCAAAATGGATATTATGTAAATAGTTGTAATGTTAACTGGAATTGTTTGACTTTTGATCAGAAGAATGAATATACTGACTGTAGTGAGACTAGCAGTAGTATTCATCCCTCTAGACATGGCTACAATATGCACGATGGATATTTGAATAATGGTTTCTGTGAAATCAGAGAAAGATACTGGAAAGATCTTTCTGTGGACAAACATAATAATGGAGCAGAAAGGCTTGTGAACCAGCAGTTTCAAGAGGAAAAGTTAAATAAATTGCAGAAGTTACTTATTCTTTTAAGAGGTCTGCCTGGTTCTGGGAAAACAACATTGTCTCGGTAAGTAAAGGATACCAAGTGAATACTTGGAAATTCGTAATTTAAACATAAATGATATTTGTAATCAGTGACATGCTTTCATGTTCTAAGTAGAAAGTTTTTAATTTGCTATACTTGAGAATGGCATCTGACAGTCTAAATGTTTTGAAAGATGTTTTCTGATAGAAGCAGGGAGAATTGGCATATATATTTATATTTAGATTCTGCTAAGGGCTTTGAAAATAGATGTACCATTTATAATTATGACAGTGATGAAGCAAATGATACTTGAGAACTGTGTTGGCTTTCCCTTTTGAGTTAGCTATTCAAGAAAAGTTGAACGCAGTGTTAGATGACTTGGGTTTTGACTCAGTTATTTTACTTTGTGACTTGGACAAGTTTTGCTATCTGATGATTGAATAATGTTACTTAATTTTTCTGGAATTATTTTGAAGACCAAATGAGATAATTCAAGGAAAGGAATTTTGAATGTGTTAAGCATTGTGCCATGTTCGTACCCCTTTTTAGTTTCATAAAATGTAAGGAATTTGAAGTGAGCAATAACCAAATGGAGTTAGAACTGGTGATGTTTTATTGTATTACAAAATATTTTGTTTACATTTTAAAACAATATACATTTCTGCAGTTGTGAAAAATAGCATAAAAAAAGCAATACAAATTATTTGCAGTTTATATAGAATGATTTATGCCTGACAAGGAGAAAAAGAATTTGATATTTTTGAGGATAAAAAAAATTAGAGGAAGCCTTTTAGGTGTGTTTTTTATTTACTTTTAAGACGATTTAAACAATCTAAAAGTTTCTTCAGAAAAAAAGAAATCAGAGAAAGGTTTAGGCTGGGTGCAGTGGCTCATGTCACTCCTAGGACTCTTAGGAGGCCAAGGCGGGAGGATCGCTTGAGCTCAGGAGTTCAAGACCGGCCTGAGCAAGAGTGAGACCCTGTCTCTACTGAAAAATTAGAAAAGTTAGTTGGACATGGTGGCCCATGCTTGTAGTCACAGCTACTTGGGAGGCTGAGGTGGGAGGATCCTCAGGAGTGTGAGGTTGCAGCCAGAGACAGAACAAAACTGTCTCAAAAAAAAAAAAAAAACCCAAAAAACAAAAACAGATTTAAGGCCGGGCGTGGTGGCTCACGCCTGTAATCCGAGGCGGGCGGATTGCTCAAGGTCAGGAGTTTGAAACCAGCCTGAGCGAGACCCCGTCTCTACCAAAAATAGAAATAAATTAATTGACCAACTAAAATATATATATACAAAAAATTAGCCGGGCATGGTGGCGCATGCCTGTAGTCCCAGCTACTCGGGAGGCTACTGAGGCAGTAGGATCGCTGAGCCCTGGAGATTGAGGTTACTGTGAGCCAGGCTGACGCCACGGCACTCACTCTAGCCTGGGCAACAAAGTGAGACTCTGTCTCAAAAAAAAAGACAAAAAAAACCAAAACGGATTTAATTTATGATATAAAGATTTCAAACTGGATTATAAATGTAGTCTTTGTGAATGAATTCAAATTTTGGTCTTTGCATTTTGATTCCTTTTACGTTAGTGAAGATTTTGTAGAGGAGATGAAATTTTAATTGTTTACAAAGGATAGAAGGTAAGAGTGGGGTTGTCTCACAAACACGGGCAGTCTTCTAGATTTAGAATATAATATCAGAGAAAATTAAAAATTGAAACTTGGAAATTAGTTGAAGGGGTCTGCTAGTTAGGACCACTTGACTAAGAGTGGATATAGAAGAAGCATAAGAAAGAAAAGTTATATTTGGGACAACATATTGTTGAAACTAAAGGTGACTAAAGTAGTGGTAATGCAAAAGAATTTCAGGGAGACATAATTGTAGTGGGAGATGATAGAGGTGATTATTATAATATGTATATTTGAGGAATAGGTATATGACATAAGAATGGAAGTGATATGTATTACCAAGTATCATTTGTATCATGATTTACAATTTACAGAGTACTTTAAAATGTGAGATGGGTTTATATTTTCATTTTATAGAAGGAGCAGAGGCTAAGGGAAGTAGTTCAGGTTAAATGACTTATAAGTTATAAAAACTGGTAAGAGATAAGAGCTCAAACTAGGAATAAAACAATAGTGTATTTTCCTATGTTTTCACTTTAGTATCTATTGGATGTATAGCCCTATACTTGACTATGGACTTCAAGGAACTTGGTAAAAGAGCCAGGAGTACTTCTTTAGGCCAACACTTTTTTTTTTTGGAGACAAGGTCTTGTGCTGTTTTCTGGGCTAGAGTGCAATGGAGTCATCATAGCTCTATGCAACCTTAAACTTCTGGGTTCAAGCAATCCTCTGCCTCAGCCACCTGAGTAGCTGGGATTACAGGCCCACACCACTATGTCTGGTTAATTTTCGCATTTTTTGTGGGGGTTGCCCTGTGACCAGCTATGTTGCCCAGGCTGGTCTCTAATTGGTCTCAAGTGATCCTCCTGCCTTGGCCTCCCAAAGTGCTAGTATTACAGGCATGAGCCACAGCACCTGGCTGATAGGTCAATACTTTTGAATGAAGTGAGGTTGGTTATTTGGGATTGAATATAAAGCCACCTATTCTCTAGTGAGGAATAGTTTCATAGCTTTCAAAACAAGCTTTGACCTGTAATCATAAAACTCTGGGAGGCCCAGGTGGGTGGATTGCTCGAGGTCAGGAGTTCGAAACCAGCCTGAGCAAGAGCAAGATCCCATCTCTACTATAAATAGAAAGAAATTAATTGGCCAACTAATATATATATAGAAAAAATTAGCCGGGCATGGTGGCGCATGCCTGTAGTCCCAGCTACTCGGGAGGCTGAGGCAGGAGGATTGCTTGAGCCCAGGAGTTTGAGATTGCTGTGAGCTAGGCTGACAGCTTGGCACTCACTCTAGCCTGGGCAACAAAGTGAGACTCTGTCTCAAAAAAAAACCAAAACAAAACAAAACAAGCTTTGAAGGGAAAAAAAGGTTAAAAATTGGTAGATCGGAGTGGAGCTAATTTGAAGCCCTAAATTAAAAGATAGCATTGTTTAGTTTTGATATGTGGTAATGAGTATAGGCAATTTGATAAAGTTCAAATTCCTTTGGTATAGTGTTCAAGTCCCTTTCTTCATTTAGTCATTATCATCTTTCCATCTTTATATCTTTTCTACACTTGGACTTGTACCTATCTTCCACTGCAGAAGAAGACAGGCTTGTTCATCCGTTGTTCTTTATTTACTTAACATTTCTCTTAAATGTCTCCACTTCTTGAGGCTTTGGTTTATTATCTCAGCCCTCAGTAATCCTCTGTCTGAATTTCTGTAGTATTGCCTTTGTATGTAGCATATGCTATATAAGACAGCATTATCTTTTTATTCACTGATAATTGACATAAGCCAATTTGGTTGTAAGTGGATGGAGGCTTAGTTGTTCCTCCACAACTTTGCTTCCAGGTTTTCATGAAAGTAAGTCTTAAAACTAAATTCTAACACAAGTACAGACTTTAAATATTTATGAGTAAGCCAGTACAAAATAGGTCATACAAGGCCAGGCTCAGTGGCTCACGCCTGTAATCCTAGCACTCTGTGAGGCAGATCGTTTGAGCTCAGGAGTTTGAGACCAGCCTGAGCAAGAGTAAGACCAAGACCCCATCTCTACTAAAAATAGAAAGAAATTAATTGGCCAACTAAAAATATATGGAATAAAATTAGCCAGGCATGGTGGTGCATGCCTTGTAGTCCCAGCTACTCTAAAGGCTGAGGCAGAATTACTTGAGCCCAGGAGTGTGAGGTTGCTGTGAGCTAGGCTGACACCACAGCACCCAAACCCCAGGCAACAGAGTGAGACTCTGTTTTAAAAAAAAAAATGTCATACAGCCTTTGTAGGTATGATAAAGTGCCAGCTCTTTGTCCTTTTAGGAACTTGATAGCACGTTTATGAAAGGTTCATTTGAGGCAGAATTAAAGAATATTATAGAGGTAGAATTTTTTTACTATTGTAGTTGGAATGAGGCAAACAGAATCCTCTGGCCCAGCGGGTAGATGCTGGACCATTTAGGGATCAAGCCCTGAGAGTTGTTCCCAGGGGTGTGGACTATAGATTTTACTAGATTCTTATGCCCTGTTCATGCAAGAATGGGGGTAGGGGTTTGAAATATTTAGTTAATGCACATTTCTTATACTGTACTGATTTCACCAATGAGAGTGTATTTTCATAAACAGGCCATTTCATTATTAGCAAAAAATCTGGAGTTGATCAGAGATAAAAAGACACTTGTAAAAACCTTCTGTAGCCACCTTTGGAGAGTAGCCTTTGTGCTAAGCTAGCAAGACCCTGGGATATGATTTCTTGATCAGGGTAACTGTGCTTAGGATGTAGCTTAAATCATCTATGTGATCTCACACTGTCTGTGCTAAAATATTTTAAGGTAAATTACAATCATCCTTATAATGAATATACTTTAATCATCTGGATTGTGAGCGAAGACCTAAACTTGGCAACTTTGTAATTCCCAGCAGGTTGCCCAATGCCCCCTCTTACAGTAATAATAGCTATAATTTGTTGAGTGCTTACAGTGTGAGGCACTGTCCTCAGAGCAGGTAGATCTTAATTTTTCATTTTATAGATAAGGATGCAGAATGGTTCAGTAAATTTATCCCAGATCACATGTCTTGTAAGTAGTAAAACATTATAAGTCCAGGGCTAACTCCCAACCTCCCTATTCTTTTTTAAACCATACTGCTTCCCACGTGGTAAATGCTCAAGTTGTTTTTACTGAGAGATATAGCAGGTTTTAATAGCTTGGCCATAGTTTTGGCCATAGAGTGTTTATGGGTAGGACAACTCAGGTAAAGATGTCACTTCTCCCTCTAATATATTTATAGATTCGGCAAAACTTTAACCAAGATCCCAAAAGGATTTTTGTATGAATTTTCATAAGCAAATTCTAAAGTTCATTAGTTATGTAAATGTAATAAAATAATTTGAAAAAAATGATAAGAGTATTATCCTACCAGCTATCAAAAGTTATTTAAAAACTTACTATACACTCTGGGAGGCTGAGGTGGGCGGATTGTTTGAGGTCAGGAGTTCGAAACCAGCCTGAGCAAGAGCAAGACCCTGTCTCTACTATAAATAGAAAGAAAGTAATTGGCCAACTAATATATATAGAAAAAATTAGCCGGGCATGGTGGTGCATGCCTGTAGTCCCAGCTACTCAGGAGGCTGAGGCAGGAGGATTGCTTGAGCCCAGGAGTTTGAGGTTGCTGTGAGCTAGGCTGACAGCATGGCACTCACTCTAGCCTGGGCAACAAAGTGAGACTCTGTCTCAAAAAAAAAAAAAAGACAAAACTTACTATAATTACTAAAGTTACTATGTAACTTTGTAATATATCAGTAGGTAAAAACGTTCAATAAATGGTAATAGGGTATTTGATTGTCAGTATGGGAAAATAATTTTAAAACCCTCCCTGTGCCATCATTCACAAAAAGAGCTTCTAGATGGATATAAGACCACATAAAAAAAACTAGAAGAAAATGTAGAATTGTTTTTTTTAATAATTTCAGGGCATGCGTAAAACAGTGGGAGAGAAATAGTGAGAGGACTTGAGAAAACAGGTTTTTATTTGGGTTTTGTCTGTTTTATAAAACTATTGTGGATATTTACTGTAGTAGGCCGAACAATATACCCCAAGATGTCCATATCCTAATCCCTAAAACCTATGTGTATGTTAACCTTGCATAGTAAAAGAGACTCTGCAGATTTGATTAGGTTAAAGATTTTGAGGTGGGGAGGCTATCCTGGATTATCTGAGTGGGCCCAATGTAATCACAAGGGTTCTTAATAAGGGGGAGGCAGGAGTATCCAAGTCAGAGATATAAGGACCAAAAGCAGAGGACAGAAAGGAGAGAAGATGCGACTCTACTGGCTTTGACGACAGCAGAAGGGCCTGTATGCCAAAGTGTGCAGCTAGTGGGAAAAGGCAAGGAAACATTCCATAGAGCCTCCAGGAGGAATACAGGCCTACCTATACTTTGTTTTTAGTCCCGTGAAACTGATTTCATACTACTAACTTTCAGAACTATAAGATAAATTACTGTTGTTTTAAGCCACCAAGTTTGTGGTAATTAGTTGTAGCAACCATAGAAACTAATAAATGTATCGTAGTTTAAAGAGAAATGGGCAGAGATTTCTTTTTTTCCTCTCCCTACTTTTTGAGGAGGGAGATCTCAATTTAAACTCCAGAGGAAAGATTTATTTCTTTATAGGTCTCTATTCTTAATTCAAGAGCTGTTTAGTAGTGAAGTGCCCCAGTAAAGTGGTTTTAGGGTGGGGTAAGTAAGGAGGTAAAGGGTTCATGAAGTGTTAGTTTTGCTCAGATTTTTTTTTTTTAAATCACTTTTAAATGCACATGGATATATTCAAGAAAATAATGTGCAATTCTTAGAAAATTTAAAAAATAAACCATGGGAATGAGCTCTCTTATAGGCCTGTGTTTGGGAACAGGGTTCACGTATTTCTTGCTTAAGTGAGAAATAATAAGCACAGAGTACATTAGTTATTCATGATCATATAATATTACCCTAAAACTTAGTCAAAAGCAACATTTGTTGCATCACAGGTTCTGTAGGTCAGAAATCTGGGTATGGTTAGGTTAGCTGGGTGCCTCTGGTTCAAGGACTAACAAATGCTGTGATCAAGGTATTGGCCAGGGCTGTGTTCTGGTCTCAAAGCTTGATTTGGGCAGGGTCTGCTTCTAAGAGCTCTCACAAGGTTGTTGACAGAACTCAGTTCCTTGTGAGCTACATTGGATTGAAGGCCTCAGTTCTTTGCTGCTTGGGCCTCTCTCCATTTGCAAGGCTGCTGGTTTCTGTCAAAGTGAGAGAGAAAACACGAAAGCCCAAGAGTAAGACAGAAGCCACCGTTTTTTCTTACAGTCTCAAAAGTGACATCACCTGTGTCATATTCTATTCCTTAAAAGCTAGTGACTAAACCCAAGCACACTCCAGGGAATATTATACAAGGGTGTTGATACAAGGAGGTAGGGATCACTGTAGGCCATTGGTTTGGGGCTTAGGTAGATGCCTTATATTGGCTCTCCCATTAGTACCTATGTAACTCAGTTGGCCTAACTTCTGAAATTATTTTTATTCCCAGATTTGTTTAATATCAAATTATCAGGGTTGTTATGAGGATTAAATGAGGGCATAGATGTATATAAAATCTTTGGAGCCAGGCTCAGTTCCACATGCCTATAGTCCTAGCTACTTGAGAAGCTGAGCTGGGAGGGAGGATTGCTTGAGCCCAGGAGTTTGTGACTAACCTGTGCGACATAGAGACTCCCATCTATTTAAAAAAAAAAAGTTTGGCATATAATAGGTTCTTCAAAAGATAACTATTGTTTTGAAAAAATACTAGTGGTTACTGAGCCCAGATATGATTTTTTTTTTTTTTTGAGGTAGAGTCTTATTCTGTTTCCCAGGCTAGAGTGCCTTGGCGTCAGCCTCTAGCTTGCAGTAACCTTAGACAGCAATTCTCCTGCCTAAGCCCCACAAGTAGCTGGGACTACAGGCACGCACCACCATGCCTGGCTAATTTTTTCTATTTTTAGTAGAGATGGGGTCTCGCTCTTGCTCAGGCTGGTCTCAACCTCCTGAGCTCAAGGGATACTTTGACCTTGGCCTCCCAGAGTGCCAGGATTATAGGCATGAGCCACCATGCCTGCCCTGAATTTTTTTTAATTAGATGTTTGACTTATTCATGGTCCTAAATTTTGACATTCTGAGGATTGCTTTTCTTAATAGTACCTGACTTAGCTTGAGAGAGTTCTGATAAAATCTGGCTGTAAAAATTTTGAAAATACTAATGTTAAGGAACTTATTTTTGGTTCATATGCTTAGTATGACATCAGATAGCCTTGGATTTTTATAGGTATTTTTTAAAGTCCTTAAAGTAAAGCTTCATAATTTGAGCTAATTCAGGGCATTTGAAAAAGATGCATGAATAGTCTATGCTTTCTGGAAGGGAAAGTCTTTCTAAGCTAAACTTATACACTATAGTTATGATTTATATATTTAAGAAAATATTCTTCATAGATGTTTATTCATGTTTGGTGTTGATGTAGTTTGATTATACAAATTGATTTTACTGTGACTTCTCCATCTTTTTTTTAATTTGAGAGACTTTAAATCATTTCTCAAATACAAAAACTACTATAGTCATGTAGTGTGGTATTATTAACATCTTAAAAATCACCTGCTAGTAAAACATAATTGAATAGGGGAAAAAAGGAAGCATTGGGTACCTAGGAAAGGTGATGTCTGGATTTTTGGTACTGTTGAATATAGTTAGATATCATGTGGATAATGATCAAAATCTCCTTTTAGGTAATTGAACTTTGGTTTACAATGCTAATATGAAGCCATATCCATATTCTAGACTATCTGTATAAGCAGATAAGATGCCAAATATGTTAGATGGATATATTTTGGAAAAATCATGGCTGCTTAAAAAAGAAATCCAACTCTAGTCTCCCAAAGAAACAAACATCTCAGACTGTTAACTTTCATTTGGTTTGTTTAGAGTAATTTGAACAGTAATTCTGAAGGGGAAATACATATTTTAAATTGTTCCATTTTGATACATAAGATTTTATTTTTATTATAAAACATACTGTTGACCCTCTATATCTGTAGGTTCCACATGGATTCAACCAACCTTGAAAATATTTGAGAAAAAAATTGCATCTATATCGAACACGTACAGACTTTTTTTTCTTGTCATTATTCCTTAAACAATACAGTATAACAGCTATTGACATTTACATTGTATTAGGTATTATAAGTAATCTAGAGATAATTTAAAGTATATGGGAGGATGTGCATAGTTTATATGCAAACAGCCATTTTATGTCAGGTACTTGAGCACCCATGGAATTTGGTATCAGAGGGTGATCCTGGAATCAATTCCCCATGGATACCAAGGTATGCCTGTAGATGATTTTATTGTTAAAATAAGCTGAAAGGACAGATGACATGTTTTTCATTTTAATAGTTGAAATCCTTCTTACTACTTTTTCTTGAATCATCCTGGCCAATATTCTTTTACTTTCAATCCCTTCTACCATCTTCCAGCGCCCCCCACTCCCACCCCAAAATTATAGAATAATATCCAGTTGCCTAATGGTTAAGGGAGGAGCAAAACAAAATACTTTGCGTTGTGATTGTTGGAGCCAAATCGTTATCTTCCTGTGTTTTCCCTATTTCAGCCTACTCCCAATCTCTTTCACAAGTCTTTATTTTTGAGAATTCTCTGACCCTCTGAACGCTTGTAAATATCACCATTGCTTGTGAATTTAAGTTGGTGTCACGTTTTCAAAACAAATCTTTGGCCGGGTGCAGTGGCTGATGGCCTATAATCCTAACACTTTGGGAGGCCAAGGTGGGAGGATTGCTTGAGGTCAGGAGTTCTAGACCAGCGTGACCAAGAGTGAGATCCTATCTCTACAAAAAAATAGAAAAATTAGGCGTGGCGGTACACCCCTGTAGTCCTGCCTTGTTGGGAGACTGAGGCAGAAGGATCGCTTGAGCTCAGGAGTTCAAGGTTGCAGTGAGCTATGATGATACCACTGCACTATAGCTGTAGCAACATAGCAAGATCCTGCCTCCAAAAATATTTTTTCTTAAATAAAAAGTTTTTTATATTGGCTGTTAATTATGTAGATTTAGGTGTAAAGTGGTATTTGAAAACTGAAAGCTTTTTAAGGTTGTTCAGCTCATGTGGTATTCTGTTTGCAATATACTCACAGGTAAGTATCAGAAATTCATTTAATAACCTTTCCTGTGTGGTTTATTCCTAATGGTTATAGATTTTATAAATGGCACTTTTATGATTTCTTTTATTAACAGAATTCTGCTTGGTCAGAGTCGTGATGGCATTGTGTTCAGCACTGATGACTATTTTCGCCATCAAGATGGGTACAGGTATAATGTTAATCAACTTGGTGATGCCCATGACTGGAACCAGAACAGAGGTTTGTTTTGGGCCAGGTCTTCTGGGATGGAATATTTGACTATGAGTCAGAAGACCTAGGTTTTATTCTTGACTTCGATTTTTACCAGCTAAATGACTTTGATAAACCATTTAAATAGCTTTGAGACCCAATTTCTTCATCTGTTAGAAGTGGTGATTATTATACTTGCCTTTCCTGATTGGAGTTGTGTAAAGCAGAGAACTTAGAAAAAACATTTTGTGAACTATAAATAGTGTACCAAGCTGGTAAAATATTAGAGTTATGGGATATTTTAATAGGCTTTATTTTATACCTCATGAGTAAATTTAGAGGACTCTGATAGTGTTATGTATTCCCAAAGTATTTCCCTGAGAACAATGCTAATGTTTTCCAATGCTTAATATACTGGTTGTGAGTACTAAAAGTTTTTCTCATTGATGTTGCTGTATAAGAAACCTACTTAATAGATTTTTTAGAGGACATTGGTCAATTTCTGTTCATCATTAATAGGGGTTTCTTAACCTAGGCTGCACATTTGAATCACTTAGGGACCTTTTTAAAAAGAACTTATGTCTGGGCCTTAGCCTCAGAGATTCTGGTTAATTGATCTGGAGTGGGGCCTAAGCACTGGTGATTTTTGTTTTTTGTTTTTGGAAAGTTGTTCAGATGGTTCTAATGTGTAATCTGAATTGAAACCTATTGATCTAGAACTTTAAATGTGTACACCATGTTTTTTAAAGATGAATACATTGATGATTAAATAGCTTTTATTATGAAAAATTTTATGCCTAGATTAGAGAGAGTATAATGAATCTTATAAACCCATTACCAGAATTATCTGTTACCAAGATTGTGACATATGGGCTTTATCCTTTTTGTTTTTATCTCCCTTCTTTTTATTATAATTTGCTGGAGTATTTTAAAGCAAATTCTAGACATCGTGTTACACATTTCAACTTAACTTTTTACTTAATAACATCTTATTTAACTGCAATGCCATTATGACACTTTAAAAAAAAGATACCAATTCCTTGGCATCATGTAACCTAGTCTGTAATTGAATTCCTCCTATTGTCTTAAAAAGGGGAAACAAGATTCTCAAAATACATTTTGTTTTATGTTTGTTTTAATTATCTTAATCTATAGCAGTTTCCCTTCTTTTAACCTTCATGCTATTAGCTTGTTGCAGAAATGAGGTCATTTGTATTATAGAATGTTACATATTCTGTAGTTTTCTGTTTGCTTCCTGCTGGTAACCATTTAACTTGCTCTTCTTACTCCTGTATTTTCTGTGAATGGAAATTTGCTCTAGACTGGAGGCTTGATTCAGTTCAACTTTTTTTGTGTTTTTTTGGCAAGCAAGTATTTAGTTGTCCCACTCTTAGTGGTTGTAACCTTAATAAGTAGATTCACAGGAATTGCCTGTTCCCTCTATTAACAAGTTCCCTGACAACTGTGTATCTGATGGTTTTATCCAACCATAAATTGTTTCCTGAGTCAGTTATTTCATTAAGAGTTGCAAAATGGTGATTTTTAGGTCCATTTCCATGTTTAATAGCAAAAATTTTTCTATAATGAATTTTCTCTCAACTAAAAGTTCTAACTAGGGTTGCCCTAAAGGATAGTATATACAAGAAAAAAGTATAAATGCTTTTCCTTTCAATTGTCAATTAGAGTAAGAAATATTAGAATATTTTTGAGCAAGAAGTTTTCATTCTATTAAAGTTCATACTTGTTTTTTTTTTATTTTCTTTTTTTGAGACAGAGTCTCACTCTGACACCCTGGCTAGAGTGCAGTGGCATCATCTTGGCTCACTGCAACTTCAAACTCCTGGGCTCAAGCGATCCTCCTGCCTCTTTCAGCCTTCCAAATAGCTGGGACTACAGGCCCTCACCACCACAACTGGCTAATTTTTGTACTTTTAATAGAGATAGGGTCTTGCTTTTGCTCAGGCTGGTCTCAAACTCCTGAGCTCAAGGGATCCTCCTACCTCAGCCTCCCAGAGTGCTAGGATTATGGGCTTGAGCAATCACTGTGCCTCTTTTTTGATTTTTTAAATTCCATAGAACATTGTTGCCTAAATCAAATAATGATAGTGTTGTAATTCCAAAAATGTTTGGAGTTATGTTTGGGCTAAGGGGGAACAAGAGTAGGTGATAAAGGGAATGAATAAAGACAGAACTATTATACGTTTGGTGGACTAGGAAATTTGTGTGGGGCATTTTTCCTCTTTGCAGTAGTTGTTAGTGTAGAATATTTCATTAAAATGTTTATGCCATGTGAATTATGTTGATTCTACTTGTTGAACAGAATAATGGTGTCTGGATAAGCTGCTGTTTTTTTGTTTTTGTTTTTTTATCAGTATAATAAATACAGACTTGGATACCTTTAAATGCCAGGCACCATTCTGGGAAAATCTATCTGCCTCATGTTTATTATTATAAGAATCTAAATTAATTTTAGAACACTTATAAATTGAAAACATATCCAAAGTATCATTCTTCTCTTTCTTTAGACTATTACAATAGTTAATTTGTTTATGAAAACTACTCTCATTATTTGGATATTCAAACATTGTTTACTTAGGAGCTCTATTCTTCTGGAGTGCACTAGACTGTCATATTAGATGATAATTATTTATGAAAAAAGGATACTCTGCCCATTCCTGCAAATCAGAGATTTATTTGGTTAATAAGCTTTGTTTCTAGAACAGAACTCCTTGGATGTATGAGCCTAACTATCAGACATTGGATAATGGTTTTCATAATTTTTTTTTTAAATGAAAGATCTGATCACTATGATTGGAGAATAGAGCAGTAGGAGATGATAGCATTATGATGCTAGCACTATGGATGATAGTAACCTATTCATGATCCAGATTCTAAATTTCTTTTGGTATTTAGAGGTATCTTCTCCCAGAAATGTATTCCACCATGGTCATTATTCTAACTGACCTTTAGAGGAGTATTGCACTATTGTCATTAACAGTGGCTGTCTGTGTCTCACCTCGTGGTAGAAAAGATGGCACTGGGATAGGGAGATAAAGTTTAGAAAAGTTTGTTTTTATCTCAGCTCCCAATTTGAGGATTATAGTCCTGAGACATCTCCACAAAGTTAGTTGAACTGTGGTATTTAGCTACTTGGTATATAAAGTTTTGATGGTAAGTAACGATAACTCCATAACATTTTAAAATATAAGCCTTTCTTACTTCAAAACCATTATTTGTACATTGTAGGAAATTAGAAAATACAACTAAACATGAAATGCAAACATGATAAGATAACTACTTTTAATATCTTAGTAAATCTTCCTAGCTCTGTATTTTGACCTAAGTAAGATCATATTTAACTATTGTCTTGTTACTTGCTGTTTTCATTTAATAATCTCCATCTTTCCATGTCAGTAAATTTTCACCTCTTCTCATACTCAGTCCGTATTCAGATGTAACTTGTTCCTTTATCTCCTTTATTTCCCATAAATGAAAGTTAGCTCTAGACTGAAGACTTCCTTTAAATTTAATAAAATGTCCCCAAAATGTCTTTCACAATCAGTTTGTCAAATTGTAATTCCATTCTGCAGAATACACCTGACATGTGGTTATGTCTCCTTAATTCCTTTTTAATCTAGTGGAGTTCCTTTTTTTTTTAATGGAACTGACTCGAGATTGCACAGTTTTGGTTTTAAGTAAAGAGATGTAGTAAATTTCCTCATAATGAATGTTTAAAATTTTATTTTGTGTATTTTAACCTAATAATTCTAGTTTTTGTTTTTATTTTTAAAATTTATTTTTTATTTCAGCAAAACAAGCTATTGATCAGGGGAGATCTCCGGTTATAATAGACAACACTAATACACAAGCTTGGGAAATGAAACCATACGTGGAAATGGTAAATATGAAATATAAAAGTTTTTATTTTTTATACTTTTCAATTTTTTTATGTTCTGAAATTTTGGTCACTTTGATCTTGATTATTAAAAAATTTGTGCTTATTTTCTAAAAAAGTTTATTGGTTTGCTTAGTTTTTAAAAAATTATGGATGGTGCTTAGTAAGGAATAAGCTCATCTTGTTAGTTTTAACTGACCAGGAAAATAGTAATGGAATTTTGGAATTTGTCCAGTTAAGTAGTCTTAAAATTTTTATAAACCATATTAGTTTATAAAGTAACATTTTTCTTGGTTGAGCAAACTTGGAAGTATTGTCTAAATGAAATTTATATCTGTCTGCCTTCTTTTTACTTTAAGAAGTATTCTCTGGGTTTTTGTCTTCTTCCTTTCCTTTGTATAGGCCATAGGAAAAGGATACAGAGTAGAGTTTCATGAACCTGAAACTTGGTGGAAATTTGATCCTGAAGAATTAGAAAAGTAAGGCACTTGAATTTTTATTGAATCCTTATCTTTTTTTTTTCCTTTGTGACGTCCTGCATCATTTTACAGTTTATTGAGTGCTAGTGTAGGTCCTGGGAACTCTGAAGGTAAAATTAGGACTTTCCCCTTTGGTTTTTGGCTAGGCCACTTCTCTGCATTATCCTTCTACCTTTTTCTCATTCCCATTTTAGGCCCCATCACCTTTTTACCTTGTTCTTTTATCTTGCTCTCTCTTTTTCATCATTACAACTACACGTCCATAATCCCATAGCAAGATCCTTAGAATCAATGTGTTTTGGAATTTAAGTTTTTTTGAATTTTAGAAAGGTAATACAGTATATATATATACCTAACCATTTAACACTCCTTCCAGAGTTTGGGACAGCATAGCACAATCAAACACGTTAATATTTCTGCAGCAGATCACGACTAGTCAGCTAAGCAAATAAGATTCTGCATAATCTACATCAAATCTGAGTAGGTTGTGCTTCTAAGTGAGTACAGATCTGGATAGGTTTTGTTGCCATATGAGTCAGCTGAAAACTGAGTTTTCAGAGCTTATTAGATTTCAGAACTGGTGCTGAAAGATTGTGGACTTGTATTATTTTCAACCTTCCTCTTCCATTTGTGTTTACCTTTATCCTTTTTCCTTCATGTCACTGCTTTTCCTGACTATGACTCTTTTCTTTCTTCACTTTTACTCCTCCCTTCTTTTTGGTAACAACTTTATTGAAATGTAATTCACATACTTAAAATTTACCCATTTAAAGTGTTTTCAGTATATTCACAGAGTTGTGCAATGACTGCACCCTTCCCCCCCCCTTTTTTTTTGAGGCACAGTCTGTCTCTGTTGCCCAGGCTAGAGTGCTGTGGCATCAGCCTAGCTCACAGCAACCTCAAACTCCTGGGCTCAAGCAATCCTTCTGCCTCAGCCTCCTGAGTAGCTGGGACTACAGGTATGTGCCACCATGCCCAGCTCATTTTTTTTGTATATATATTTAGTTGTCCAGCTAATTATTCTTTCTATTTTTAGTAGAGATGAGGTCTTGCTCTTGCTCAGGCTGGTTTTGAACTCCTAACCTTGAGCAATCCTCCCACCTCAGCCTCCCAGAGTGCTAGGATTACAGATATGAGCCACCACACCTGGCCTACACCCCCTTTATTAAGCCACCTTCACCCAACCCTGTACTTTAGTTTGCCCTCTTATAGCTTCAAGCTGTTATTCTGTGTATGGGGTCCAACTAATATAATTCTTTCCCCCTTGCCTTTCATTCTTTGGCTACTTTCTTTCTCTTTCTGATTTGCATGCTGTATGTTCATATGTAGATAGATAAACTAATAGATTTATCAGTATTAATATCTATATTGTTTGCCTGCCTAGCTGTGTGTGTATTGCACCTCAGGTGAAAGAGAAAGTTTACTCTGATATTTGAGTTATGTTGAATAAATGAATGATGAAATGCTATACAGTTATGTCTTCTTTTACATCTGAGGGACTGTTGAAATTTATCATTTTCTTAATACAAGTGACTTTATATAACAAAGCCAGCTTAGCTGATACCTGGCATAGTTTGATTTTTGAAAAGAATTGAGTCATTAATTTTGACATCTTATTGGTTTAGTTGTATCTTTTCAACCTCAGATTTGTTCTTTTTTTTCTTCTTTTTTGCTTTCTCTTATCTTGTATGTAAGCATCAGATTTGAAAAGTAAACATTTCTTTGTGCCTTTTTTCTGGGAAATGTGAATTAGCATTAATAGTACATCTAGAACTATAATATTAAATGTAAAATATGTTTCTGTGTTTTGTCATGTCCAAGTGAAGTTACAGAAAACTATTAGGGTAAAATAGATTGTCAAAAGTTCTTTGAGGCTCAAGTATACATTTTAAACCACTTTTGTTGTCATATAAATTCACATACAGAAAAGTATGTAAAATATAAATATACAATTTAAAGTTCTTACAAGACCAATGCACATTTAGCTATCACCCACGTCATGAGAACATGACCAACACGTCAGAAGCTCTTTGCATTCCTCTTCCCATTCACAGTTACCTTTCATTCTCTAAAAGTAACCACTGTTTTTCCTTGGTAACCATAATCACTTTCTTACTTTTTTAGTGTTAACATAATGACTGTTGCCTTAATATTATAGTTCAATTTTGCCTTTTATCAAACTTTTATATATATAAAAATAGAATCATACAGTATATTTTCATTGTATCGAGTTTCTTTCACTCAACATGATGTGTGTGAGAGATGTCCAAATTGTTGTCTCTACTAATAATTTTGTATTGATAATAAATTTTAAAAATACGAGACGAATAGTCATAAAATAACTTTTAAAATATAACAAATATGTGGGTTTTTGTAAGTTCTAGAAGTCCATTTAATCCTTCTATAATTTTTAAAGTAGTATCTCATAATCTTTGATTTTTGTCATTAAAAGGGGGGGTTATAAGTAGAGGTTCAGTGACTAGGTAGTTCTGTCTGAAGAAGATATAATTAACATTTTCCTATGATTTATGGTATCTTTAAACCTTCAAAAAACATTGTTAAAAACTTTTTATATAAAATGTGGGTAAATGAAATATATCTTCTAATATTTATTTGAAAAATATAATTTAGAATCTATATGCTGTTCCTCTGAAACAGTTTAATCTTTAAGCCTACACATTCTAAAAGAAAAATTTACAATCCTTTTCTTTTTTGGTAGGAGGAATAAACATGGTGTGTCTCGAAAGAAGATTGCTCAGATGTTGGATCGTTATGAATATCAAATGTCCATCTCTATTGTAATGAATTCAGTGGAACCATCACACAAAAGCACGCAAAGACCTCCTCCTCCACAGGGGAGACAGAGGTGGGGAGGATCTCTAGGCTCACATGAACAAGTCTATGTCACAAATAATCATTAAGTTGGCTATTTTCAGCTAACACATTTGTTTTTTGCCCTTGAGAAAAATTAGTGAGCCTGTCTTGAAATTTAAATAGTTTCAAATAAAAAAAAAAACCCTACATTGCCTCACAAAGGATGTTCCCAGCAAGTTGTTTAAATTCTAAAGTGTAAATAAAAATTATATAAAATTGTATTTTAAATGTTTTTATAATCTTTTGTTGTAATAATTTTGGTTGTTATGAAAACACCTGAGTAGTATAGTGGGTAGGAACCAGGATGTTTTTCTACAATTGAACTATTTTGTAGATAATGTTGAACAGTTTTTTTATAGTTCATACCTAAATCTAACTTTTCATAAAACTTTAGTATTTTTCCTTTGCTATCTTAAATATGCAAGAAATACTAACTTGTTATAGGGCACCTTAGTTGATTCTCCTATTCATTATACAGGTAAAATTGTATTTCAGCTAATTCATCTGTGTGACAAAATTATTTTAAAGCTGTAATCAGCATAGTACATAGTTTGAACAATCACCTGGAGTTTTCTATGGAGTTTTCTCCATAATGTGCACATTCATCATTTAATACATACATATTCCTCATCCTCCTTCTCAAGCCATCTTCCTACCCCCATGCACTTGCAAGTTCTGGAAAGGATAAGGAAGCAAGGCACTGTATAGTGAGAAGAAACTTCTCAGGTGATTCTAATAATGTTTCACTACTCTGTATTTAATTTAATGCAGTATAATTCTAATATAAAAATATTTTGGATAGCATTAGTCATAAGATTTGTTCTATGGAATATTATGTTTCTTCTAGTATTAATTTTTCTGAAGAGCCAACTGTAATTTTCTCACTGGATAGTTTTCTTTATTAGATTGTGTTTCTTTACTAAGAATTAAAAAACTGAGATGGAATTAATTTCACAGGCCTTGTAATTCATCCCTGTCTTCAAACAGCTTTACCTGGACTATCCTAGATAATTAAGCATTTCTCTTTGCAACATGAGGAAAGAAATACTACTACCTCTTTTAATACTTTTCTTCCCAGTGCTTATAGAAAATGTTTCTTTAATCTTTGATTTCATTTACTCTTTTTTAGGAAAAAGACCTCAGCTAATTACAATGCTATTTAATCATTATGATTCTTTATATCTTTTCATAAATATTTCACAGCCTTTAAACTTTCTCCAGCCATCATGAATCCCATGATCTTTCTCTGTTGTTTTAAAATCTTTTGCTGTTCTTTCAACTTTAAATGTTTTCTCATAGCTTTATATTACTTTTTAAAGTTGTGAGGCTTAACTAGATTCAGTACTCCCAACAAGGCCTTTGTTACATTGCCTTTAGTGGAGTAAGAATATGATTTCTATTTGTATTATTTAGTTCTGTTTACATTTGAATAAGTATTACCTTTATCTTGTTTAATATGTGTGTGTTTGTATAGATTCATTATAACTAAATCTGATGTAGTAGGAATATGCTAACTCATGTTTTGTGTGTAAATGTATATATATTTATATTTACATACATACATCTTCATCTGTGTTTTCAGTATTTCACAGTAATACTTGTGATATTTGGACTTGTGCTTTCAAGTATTTTATTATGTAAATTAGCACAGTTTGATATACAAAAGGATTTAATTTGGGGACAGATATATTGTGTGTCCCTTTCCCTCTGTCTTCATAAACTTCACTTAGGAGTAATAGTACTATATAAATCTACAATTTTTTTTTTTTTTTTTTTTTTGAGACAGAGTCTCACTTTGTTGCCCAGGCTAGAGTGAGTGCCGTGGCGTCAGCCTGGCTCACAGCAACCTCAATCTCCGGGGCTCAGTGATCCTACTGCCTCAGCCTCCCGAGTAGCTGGGACTACAGGCATGCACCACCATGCCCGGCTAATTTTTTCTATATATATTTTTAGTTGGTCAATTAATTTATTTCTATTTTTGGTAGAGACGGGGTCTCGCTCAGGCTGGTTTTGAACTCCTGATCTTGAGCAATCCGCCCGCCTCGGCCTCCCAAAGTGCTAGGATTACAGGCGTGAGCCACCACGCCCGGCTTACAATTTTCTGAATAACTTACTTAACCAAATTTATTGTGAGGAAGTAACTTTGAGGAGAAACAGATTATGAGGAAGCATGTTCCTATTAAGTCTAAAATAAATTTCTAGATTTATTTTAGATTCAACTTCATCTCCTAGTACTTCTGAGCACTAAAAATCATGGAGAGATCATTAATCATTACCAATTAATGTTTTTCACCTTCCTCACCACCAATTAATTTTTTAAAATTATAGCTCCTAATGGAGGCAGGGAAACTAACATTCTAACTTTCAGCCTTTTTTAAGGTAGAAAAATAGTTAATAGTTACCCCAAGCATTGTGGCTAATTTAAATTAAATTTTGTTAACAGTAATAGAATGGAGGAATGAAAATGTAGTGAAAGATACCAAAATCACTATTTTACATCTTTTCTTGGTGTTAAAAAGCTATAAAATGTGAAATTTACCAATTTTTCATAAAAAAATGTTTCATTTTTTTCTATTGAGATTTTTTTTTTTTTAAAGAGATAGTATCTCACTATGTTCCCCAGGCTGGACTTGAACTGGTCTCAAGTGATCTTCCTGCCTTAACCTCCTGAGTAGCTGGTACTACAGGTGCCAGAGCACTGGCCTGGCTAGATATCATCTAAATGGAATACACCCCACACACACTGCTACACCGCATTCTAACCTGATCTTCGTCACAAAGAATAAAGTGGGCATTAGTCATCATATTTAACTAAGACGGAATACGTCTTTGTTAACTAGAATACAGGATCTAATTGGGTTCGGTAAGATTAAGTTATAATTAGGGTTGTTTTTGATAGGTTTAGTGTAAAAATTACTTTTCCTTTTTGATAAATTTGTAGTTTTCTATGTGTCATAATCCTGTTAGTAAAAATTCTTATGTAGTAATTAAGTTGAACTTTTGATATTGCTTTTTAATTATGTAATCTTTATTTTCAATATTCACCTTTCTAAAAGAAAATGCTTGCTTTTTTATATTTTTCTGTTTTAAAATAAGATTATTTACAAAAGATTGGGCTGCATTTTTTTGTTGGAGTGATAAGTTTGATTTACGTATTTGAAGTTTGCTTATCTCTTTTCTAATTAATATAGATTCTGGAAAATTCCAATTTTACATATAGATAAGTTTTGAAAGTTTATGATTTCAGAGATTATGAAATGTTTGTTTTGACTATACTTGAATTTTTAACTGCAGAAATGTCTGATTTTCTGAGAGTTGTTTTCTAAGTATTTATAAAGAAAATTGATGGTATTCTCTTTAGAAAATGTTGAGGAAATGTAGTTGCTATATTTTTTAGTGCCTTGACCGGATAGATTTTCCAATGTTTGTTAAAGTTTAATGTAGTATTCTGACATGAATGTAATAACTAATAAGGGCTAAAGTTGTGTTGTTGTTGCTTTTTGGTTTTTATACATCTGCAGCCCACATTGAATAACACTTTAGTCTATAATCATAACAAAGTATTAGATTAGTTTTGTTACAGTGCCCATGTAGAATAAGTAATTTGGAGGCAACAGAAAGAGTATGTTGAGTTAGTGGTTTTTAGAGTTAAGTTTTAGGGGTTACAATTTATAAATAAATTTTTTTTTAAAATTAAAACTGTTAGCTGTATCTTTGTAAATTTACTGGAAGGAGATATTATTAAGGATTAATGAGTATCCTATTTGGTGATGGTTTCCTTTCTCTTTACAAGTTAAATAAGATGGCATACCAATTTTTATTTTATTTTTTAAATTAAGGTACCATTAAAATGATTTGTTTCCCTGTATGTATACCAGATTTTCTCCTTACACTGTCCTTAGGATGGTAAGAGGTAGTATTAAGTTTGTTGAAATAGATCCCGAAAAAGGAGAGATTAGTGGTTGTCTTGTGTGCCTTCTTACTCCTTTTTCACTTCGCAAAGCAGTGTTTAGTTTGATTGGATTTAGTTGATTCAAATTGCCAAATGTTTTAAACCGCAGAAATTTGTATGGTTTATAAATTTTGCATGGTTTATAAATTTCAGAGCAAACCTTGAATAATTTATAATTACGATTATCTGCAACTAAGTTCAGAAAACTTCTAAAAGAATGGTTACAATTTATACTCAATACCTTAGACTACACTGAATGGCATAATTTTTGTAATAGAATATAAATGTGTATAAGCAGTAATTTTGACTATCTCTTGTGGAAATTCTTTATACATTGTCACTGTCAAATTATGCATAGGAACAAGAGGAAGGAGTAGCACAAATAACTCTTAGAAAAGAAAACTTTAACAGTAAATAGAGAGTTTTTCTCAATTCTAGAAGTTGGCTGTATGTGTTGGATCATTTTAACTGACTTTTTTATACATTTAATAGAAGTTTATTTTAGTCATTCATATTAGAAATAATCTTTTTCTTCCTTTTCCTCCTGATAAAGTTTGCTCTGTGAGAGATAACTGTGACATATTCCAGGTGTGATAATTACAATAATTACATATTATAAAATACTTCCCAGTAAAGAATCTGTTAATTTCAGTAAACTGTCTTAGATTCCAATAGGAAAAAAATAGATTATTTTATGTAGCATGGACACAGCCATAGTCCCCTAATCTTAGAACAAGAGACAGTCACATTAGCAAGCCTTATTATACCTGCTTTGGTGAGTGACTCAAGACTTCATATGGGAGTATTGGTCCAGTTGTTAATATTTCCATTGTTTTTAAAAAAAATCGAACTACTTTTTCTAAATTAATGGGAAGATCTTAAGATTTTGAGAGGAGCTCTTGGGCTGTTTGCCTCTCAAGTTTGTTAGTAACTAAGAAAAAAAAGAATGATCTGTTCGTTCATGGTTAAAATTGTGTTTAAGTTAGTAGAGTCCATTGAAATATACTTTATTATTTGGATTATTTTCTTTTGCAGTTTTA